TCCATACTGACACCAAAAACTCCCTGCTACTTTGCTAAAGTAAACACTGACAAAATAACTTATTTTTATGTCATGTTTACTGCCAGCTTTTCTTCTGCATGCCCAGGTTCTCTGCTCTGATTTTGTGGAGATTCACAACAGTAGCTGACTTTACCCTGAGGAGTTTTATTTGCTGTGCATTTCGGTATTGATCAATTATTTCTCATCTACCATACTTTGTATGCCACCTGCTGTACAGCTGGGGCACTAATCTCTGTACTCCAGTTGCACCTCTTTTGCCATTGTTGAGAATTATACTAGCAACAGGTCTGTCTTTTTTTAATGTCAGGAATTCTTGTACAAGGTCTTCCCACACATGTACCCCCTATCCCAAACTTGTCTGAAATAATTGAATCAGCTATATTGCCAAAGCAGAACGCACCAGATGACAAAGCAATCATGTATTTTCTTTGTCCATATAAAAAAAGCTTATAGCATGCAGCTACCCTATTAGGTTTCACACAAACGGGGGATACCCCCATGTGCCATTTACACATGAACAAGTTTTTTTCCCTTCTACAGCACAAGATCAATGGCAAAGTTTAGACTGATTGGCATGCTGCCAGCCCTTGGAATTTATTTCTTTGGCCAGGAGGCCTGTACAATTCATGGAAATGTAATTCTGGACACCTTCAAAACAGAGCCCAATACCTGAATTATTTTGGAAATGGGTTTTAAAAAGTGCTTTTCTGCAAGTAGCAGAAAAGGCCCCTTGTCCTCCCTGCCAGGATGGTGCAATCCAGAATGAGGTGTCTGCAGGCAACCTGCTCCTGTGGGGCTGTAGCTGCTCCCATACCAGGACAATGTGGGCCACAGTCAGGCAAAGTAAAGCCTTTTGTACCATTTCTGTTGCATGTGCTACTGTTAAACTGAACTTTCTCCATGGGAAAGATGTTTAAGTCAGGAACATATAACACAGGTGTGCAGTTGTGGGTGTCACCTCAGGAAGTCTTGCTTGGATGGTTGTCTGGAGAAGCTGAAGGAGCAGGGTTTATTCACCCCAGGGAAGGAGCTGACTTGCAAATAGCAAATGCCAATACACCCGGAGGGAGGGTGTAGACAAGGCAGCACCAGGCTCCCCTTTGAGAGGCACGAGGAAGATGCAAGAGCCAACAGCCATGACTTGAAACAAGGGAAATTCATAACCAAGCAGGGGGCTGGACTGGATGCTGCCAATGTTCCCATCCATTATAGATCCTTTTGTGATTCTTGTGGTTTTGCTTTGATGGCAACAAAACCAAAATACTGGCAGACAAACTTCAATTATTAATAGAAGGATGGAGACCAGACCCGCTAGCAATACAAACTGGAAATGAGAAAATTTCCTCAAGAAGCTGCTAGTTCTCACAGCAGAGCTTAAAATCACAGCAAAATATAGCAAAAATTCCTATCCCCATCTTTTAAACAGGTAGGGTAGTCCTGAACATCTCTCCCATGCAGAGACTGAAGGGGACTGAAGGGACTGAAGAAAGAATTCCTTTTTTTCTTTTCTATTGTCATTGTCTGAAGCCTACATCTTGCCACATACAACTTGGCCCCATGTTCATCTGCATCTTTTGTGCTCTCCAGCTTTGGAACTGGCAATACAAATGTGCACAAGTGATCTTTCTCATGACCTCAGTTCCCCAGGTCTCTTCTGCCTTCTAACATTACTTTCTGTATGATTGACAGCACCTTCAAAAATAAAAAGAGGAGAGGGGAGCTGGGGAGAATCCCCCCTCTGCCTTGGGACAGCACAGGGAAAGGGTCACATGGGATATTTTTAGAACAGAATCCAATGGCAGTGATGTGAGGAAGGCACAGAGAAAAACACAGCTGTGAAACCTAACACTCATGTGTACTGAGAGCAAGTGGAGCAGAGAAACAAATTGAGGAGACCAGCAGAGCACAAGAGTGAGGAGAAGGTATGTGAGAGCAACTAGGGAATGGTAAAAGAGTAAGTGACTAAGAGGCACGAACACCTGGGAAACAAATAGTTAAAAGAAATTATTGGAAATTACAAAAAAAAAAAGGAAAAGAAAAAAGAAAAAAAGCCAGGAGCAGAAAAAATTACTAAGATGGCCACAGTATATAAACAATCACAGATACTTAAATCATAGAAGAGACTTAAGAACAAGAATTGGTCAGTTGACTCATCAGCATGCTCATGTAGATGGTTTGTGACCTTGAAGGCTGACCAGCATGACCAGCAGCTACCTCATCTACCTTCTCTCCTCACCCCAAGATGTACAGGCTTCATAAGTGACTTTGCCCGTGGATTGTGACACTGCAATAGATTTTCTAAATCAGAGGAAAATAGCAGTCATTCCTACAGTCTTTGGAGCCAGGCAATGACCTACTGTCTGTCTTTTATGACCAAGCAGCATGCCCAGAGAGCAGTGGTAGCTTTATGTCTGAAAACTGATGTGTGCAGCATTAGTTCAGAAGTGCTCTCTGCTTCTGTTCACTCACCAAACAAGAACGAACCAACATGACTGAGTACATGGAGTGAACAGATGTAATGCTGATACTTGAGAGGAGCCTGTTCCTAAAGATAGCATTTTAAGGTGTAAATTGCTAAGATACTCAAGTCCTGAGAGCGTCTGGCAAAAACACTTGAGGCAACAACATCCAGAATTACAGTCCTTTTTTAAATTGCTACATAATCCTTATAAATGTTCTTAATTTTGCTTGTTTTGAGAAATAATTTATCTTCAATTGAGATTAGTGATGCAGTGCCTTCTTAGCACTAATGCCTGGATTAGATCCAGCAAATAGCTTCTCCAGTAACTAGCTGCTACTCTGCCTATGATCCCTAAGGAATTGAGTATATATGGTCATTCTCAAAGAATTCCTAACTTTAGAGTCATCTCTAATCAAACAGGTCCTAGCATTGCTGCCCTCTTATCAGGGATGGGGATGACTTGAGTTCAACAAAGAACTAGTCATTTGGGATTTACCTAAGCAGGTACTCAAGGAATCAGACATAATTTATTACACAATCCTGTCCTGTACAGAAACCTAGAAGAACTCTCAGAGGCAAATATATGGGATAAATTTATGAATAAATTAATATAATGCAATACATTGTATGTCTTTCTCTCACAAATAGCTATTAAGTAATGGACAAATATTTTGTCAAAGATTTGCCTTAGCTCAAGTTATACGAATCATGCTCTTTGAACTCAAGAAATCTGGTGCTAGCTGTGTCTTCCCACAAGCATTCAAGAAAACTCTTATTAGTCTATTTACTCTGACTAGTCTAGTTTTACACCAAAAACCTAAAACTGAAAATCTATGATCTATGAGTTTGTTATACCTGCAGAAGAAATAGAGCCATTTTATCCAAGTAGCATACTCACTTCTTCTGCATCTTGTGCTGTTTCATGCTCTCTTCCTTACCACTGCTTTTGTTTGGGTTTGTAGTATTTCCTTACAGTTCAGTACCTCATGCAATCATTACTTGTCTGTTTATAGTGCAAACAATAAAACAGATCATGGCAATCCCTTTATGTCCTATATTAGGCTCAGCCTCGATGCTCTACTGTTGATATGACTCACTTCTGACGTTTCTTTTTTTATATTTGAATGCAGAAAATCAGGCCAAGAAAGATTAAATACATCCTAATCCTTCCACTGTACTGATTGGCTCTTTTGGCAATGTTAATACTTGATATGTGATAAATAGCATTCTTAAAAAAACACTGTTGAGCTGAGGGCGTGTGCTTGTGATGTGCCTACGTGGATCACTGAGAAATTTACCTTCATTTTGTAAGTCTGGATTTGGAAATTAAGATTTCAGTCATAAAGGGCTATATGGTCACACTGAAGATCATACAGTCCTCATTCATCTCTAAGGTACTCTGTCATACACATGAGCAGTATTCAGCAGCAGAATGTTTTTGACTAAAAGCCATTCTCCAGTTCTTCACCTCAGCCTACTGCTCCCAAATATCATCCCTTCCTTCTCCATACCTTCTCCTTACTAAACTAGGTGCTTTAGAAACAAAAACCAGAATGTGTGGCAACACCCTGCATCCAAATACCTATAAAACAAAGCAGTGCAAGACCCTACTCAGATGTGGTCAAGAAATGCCAGAAAGAAACATGTAAAAAAGTCTCTATCTTTGCAGCAGCTCAAAGAAGATGAGATTTTTTTTTTCCCCAGCCCCAACAGAGTCTTACTTCTCTCTAAACACTGCTACCAAAACTTTGCATGCCCAGGCACAAAGAGGCTACTATTCATTTTTAAAGGCTGGGATTTCATTCATGGTGTTCCTTAGGCAATGTGGATGGTATGATGCTAATTCTCATTTCAGGGACCAAAGCAAGAAGCTTTTTAGGCACAGGACAAACTGCTACCTCCACTTGTCCAGTAAAGCGTGAGGACTCACAGACATGCAATGAATCACATTTCTCCTAGTTAGCTTTTAAAGTAGCTAAAGCAGAAAGAGGCTCAAGAGCCTGCATCCAAATACCCATAAACAAAGCAGTGCAAGACACCACTGGATGCTCCCAAAGGATGCCATAGAGCAACATGCTCCATGTTCTTACAGCACCTGTAGCCACCACTATGGCAGAATTCTAACTGCTTCTTGCAGGAGCTGTAACAAAGGGCAGGGAATGGCTTCAGTGCCTTATCTGTGGTTGTCTTGATAAGAGAAACCCATTCACAACCAGCAGTTGCATTTCTGTGTAGCTCTGCAGACTCAGCTCTGACTCATGCCAGCATTTTTTAACCTGCCTGGTGTTGAAAATTTTTCACCCCTGAGGATTAGGAATTCAAGGAGCACATGGGCACATTCTCCCTTGAAGGAAGCCACTATTGGAGCATGTGCTCAGGCACATGTCTCAGGTAGTTTGTCTAATGCAAACAGGGAAAGATATTTGTAGGCAAAGAACGTTTTCAGGCCCTTAAGCAGAGGAGGGAAGCCAGCTGTCACATAGGAAACGTTCTGTGCTGCTGCAGGTATCGTACTCACCAGAGTTTCTTGGTATCGGAACGCTTTCGTTGGAGAGGCATCCCCAGTCATATCCCCAGAGACAATGTCCTGTGGAGCAGGGCTTGTTCAGGGCAATGTCCTCCTGTCTGCCCTCCCCAGCAAAATCATGGAGTGGAGCAGGCACAAGGCTTCAGCTGAAGTCCCTCAGAGCACCCTGAGAGAGAATGTTACTGGTGAGGGAAAGACACAGAGGGAGAGTGTAACCAGAGACTCCCTGCCCCCTCCTGTTCTGTCTGCTTCCCTGCTTTAATCTCTCTCTGCTGTCCTGGCAATAGGACAGCTCAGTAAATTAACAGGAGGTAACGTTTCCTCCTCCTCTCTCAGGCAGTGTCATTCTTCACTCCATTTGGAAAGGGTGGGGAACCACAGAAAGAACTGGTACTGATGGCAGAGAGAGACTAAGGAAGAGAAGGATGGAAATGACAAATTACCAAAATTAGAGACAAGAGAACCATCCTGCAACTTTGAAGAAGATTATTTCCACAACCTCTTTCAGGGACAATTTTGTGAAGTGTCAGCATCTGAGAGAGGAAGTTCTCTAGCAGGCCTTGGAAGACGATTCCTTATATGAATTACTGTTATGCTGTCCTCACATTCAACATAATTTTTCTTCAAGCATACCCATTATTGCTGTTTTTTTTTTTCTTCAAGCATACCCATTATTACCTTACCACAAATAAACATTACTCCTTGCAGTTTTCGTACCTTCCTGAACCTTCATCCACTGGCATAGATAACACTCAGGATCTTTTATATCCAGAATCACAGAATGGCTGAGGTTGGAAGGGAGCTCTGGAAGTTATCTGGCCCAATTTCCCCACTCAACCAGGGCCTTCTAGAGCCAGTTGCTCAGGACCATATTCAGATGGCTTTTGAGTATCTCCAAGCAAGGAGACTCTGCAGCCTCTGGGCAACTCCTTCCAGTTCTCAGGCACCCTCATGGTAAAAAAGTGTCAGATGGAGCCTCCTGGGTTTCAGTTTGTGCCTTAACCAAATTTCTACACATAAAACCAATTAAAACTGCTCAACAGCATTGTCAGGAAGAGTTTGTGGGCTGTTGAGGATCCTGGAACATCTGTAGGGGTGCAAAGTAGAGAGGTCTTGCCCCCTGCCCTTTTATGTGTCTGGGCCCTTGCCACAAGAAAAGCAAGAAGGAACTAAGAGTGTAGAAAGGACAAAACCAGGGTGCTGCTGTGGGTTACTGCCTTGAGAAACAGAGCACTGAGCAGCTGTGGCAACAGCTACATCCTCAGCTGAGTCACAGCTACTGTCTGCTGTACCCTGAGGCAGCAGCAAGCACAGAAGTTTGTGGGGAATGGAGCAGATAATATAGGCCACAGTTCTTTTCACAGACTGGTTTTTTTTCCTATCATCTGATATCTGTAAAGCTTTTCATTGAGGGAAAAAGAAAAATTCTGTATCTAGGAAAGCAGTTACTTAGTGCAGCATCATCACTTCCTAAGCTGTTTCTCCCACTAAATAAAAATGAGTTATGTAAAAGCATGTGAAAGGTGAAAGTGATGCCTTTATTAAGGTTATCCAGTCAGGGAGCTTTCCAATGCAGATGGGAAGCCAGAAATAAAACCACCCAGGACTCAGAGACAATGGGGAGCAGAGATCATGCAAAAGACCAAATGTCTGCAGTCACTGTTTGACAGGCCATTAATAAAGTACATTCACAGCTTTGGAGAGGGCCAGCTTGGAGTTTGTAACTATTACAATGAGGGAAACAAGGAACATAAGGATTTGAACTAGGTCTGTGGAGCTATGCAAAACTTGTTAAGGAAGATGGCTGGGGAGGAATAATGAGGGGAATAGATGGAAAAGGACAGCCTTCATGAAAACCAAGGCTGGTCAGTGTCTGTCCTATCTTCATATTAAATGCTGTCTTAGCTATCTTTCCATGAAATCTCATTATCCCACGTATGTGAGTGCTGTAAGTTTGAGGTGCCAGCAGCTGGTGAGACTGGCATGAGTGAATTTGGCCCAGCAATTACAGTCAGATTGGGGTGCAGACTGGGGACAGGAGCTGAGGCAAGTGTGGCCTCAGCAACAGTAGCTGGAGCAGCCACAGCTCTCTGGACCAACTAAATGAGTGTGTGGCATGCTGCAGCTCAGACCTGTGTGAGGAGACTTGGCACCAGGAACTGGTCACAACAGGGGTGTTGGCACCCTGGTCTTAAAAACAGGAGTGGAGAAGTGCCTGCTCCAGCCTCTAGGCTGGGACCAGCACATGTCCTGGGTCAGCTGCTAAGGCATGGAGCCCAGGGTTTCTGGGCTGGCCAGGAGGAATAACCAAGCCAGACTTGCAAGAGGCAGTGGCAGTTTATAAAATTCCTTAAGTGTTTATTTCTGTGTGAATCCATTTAGAAAACTTAAGCCTGTGCTCAGTGTGACCTTTCCCTCTCATTCTTTAAGTCACTTTACAAGTGACTGAATACCAACAGCTATTAAGTTTGTGTTTTTCTTTACCACCTGCACGTAACAAACCCAGATCCAGATCCAGATCCAGATCCAGATCCAAATCCAATTATTTTTTCAATGCAGTGTGAACTTTACCTTTGTCAAAACATGGTTTCTATGGCAGGTGTTACTGTTGCTCCTTTTTTTTTTTGCAGCTTCAAATAAAAACTTTTAGGAGTGACAAAGGAAAATTAAAATTAAAAACAAAAAACCCACAAAAAAACAGCCTAAACCACAGCAATTCCAGCGACTTTTCTAAGTCAGAGAAATCTGAGTGCAACTCTGAGATCTTTGAAATATGTAGTAAATTACACAGATGTCATCTTCAGAATTTGTGCATGGAGGCAAAATGGTTTGTGCAAAAATACAGTCTGAAGACCAAGTTATACACAGCAGTCCCATAAACAAGTAACAAATGCAGATGAGCAGAAACAAAAGAATATCAAACTTCAACAGAAAAGTATTCTATGAGAAGCGGCAAAATCAGCAATAGCAGACCAAATTGCACTGAGTAGGACATAGCTCTCATTCCTAGTGAAACAGACTCACCAAAGCTGCTGATCCTGTGACAACAGTTGATTGTAACTTCTCTGGAGATTTCCATTTCATTCCCTTCCTTTTAAAGAAACTGTTCTCTGTATGCATATGCTGATGACATAACCTATTACATAACAGTATCTTCTTGCATTTCCTTCTCCTAACTTAATAATTTACTGGTGTGATATAGTGAAGAATTCTCATACCCTGAGGGGTAAGAACAAATTTTATAAGACAGGTGAAGTCCACGTCAGGAGTCTCACTTGGCATAAATTTTATATGATGTATTAGAGATGTTTAGCCAACCCTTTTGATGTTTTGGAAGCATACGCTCTCTTTCAATACCATTCTGCACATCCTAATTTTTAAGGGGACTAATGACTATTTGTACAAAATCAAATCCTTTGACTATCTATCAGTAATCACAGATAGGGAAACAAAACCAGTTCAGAATTAAAATTGTATTAACTGAATTGTGCTTTTAATAAATGTGATTCTCATGCAGCTCAAGATTTTTAGGATACATTGGGTTCACTGGTTTCACTCCCCATCTCAAATAAAACCCTCAACATTATTCTTCTGGTTTCCAGACAAAATGTGAACCTGATAACATTGCCATGCTATCCCAGCTATTAAAAGTAATTCCTTAAACTATGCTAGTAGCTCCAAACTTACCAATGAAAATGCAAACATCTTGTTTACTTCATCTTCTGGCCTGCTAGAATCACTTTCTGCACAGGTAGATGTTGGTCATTCCAGTTCTAATATCATACTACATTTCCTGTATCAGAATTCTATATTTTTAATAAACCAATGTACTCTTTCACCAAAAAGAGAACACAGAAGACAGGAAACTACTCTTCAAGGTGTCATGGATGAAACAGGGTAAATGGCAACCTCTAGTGGATCTAGAGGCTGGGGATTATTTTTAGAGCTTACAAGAACAGAGCTTCTACCTTCTTATTTCACACTAATTGACTTTCTCACAGGTGCATTACTTTGATCTCAGCTTCCCCGCCCAGCAGTGAGATCATGGCTTGTTTGTGAAGGGGCAAGAGAAAATTCTGTGTACAGCTGCTACAAGCCTTGGGCTTTATGCATCAAGCCTCTAAGCATTCTCTGGGATTCCTTTCCATGCAGGTCTCTGATCCCCTGGACCTTCCTCCACTTCCAGAATCTCTCTGACTCATAGTATCTTCACTTTCTTTTCAGCCTCTTCCTCCAAGGCTCCTTTTTTCGAGGAACTCTTCATTTTGACACCAACTTTTCCTTCAAAAAGACCAACCCCAAATTTTCACAAGGTGAGTATTTTATCTGCTGAAGCACAACAAGAGCCTCCTACTTGGTGGTTCTGCCTCATCTCTCCTTATTAATGTATCAGTCTTTGTTTGGCCAGGGAGTTACCAAAATTCACAAGCAGCTCATAGTGGTTGCAGCTGTAAGTAGCAAGCTTCTGCCTGAGAGTTCAAAACCCCCTCTGGGATGTTCTATCTCAAGAAATGACACAAAATTCTGTTTATGTAGAACCTCCATTTCTGCAGGGGTCTAATTCTCCAAATGGAAGACACCGCGCAGATTAATCAAACAAAAATTCTTTATTTTGACACCTCAAGGCAGTAAAATACAAGTGTACAAAAAGATATATAAAAGTGGCAGTGATAATGCAACTTGATGCAATCCTACAGAAATTTAATCCATCAGAATGGACTGCTTCATCAATAAAGCTATCTGTAAAATATTGCACCACTTTGTAGAGGGAGCACTCAGGAAGACAATGTTTATACTCCAGGGAGGTACACGAGCCCCTAAACTGGTGTATTAGACTTCAGAGTAAGGCACCAATTGGCAAGTATGATTCTTGTTCTGTTCATCACATTGTGTGTAGGATAAATGCAAGATACACATTAATGCTGCACCTTTGTGAGCTGGAGGAAACACAGCCTTCATTTACCAGGCAGAATAATAAAAAGAGCACATGCCTAGTTTTCCAGCCTCCGTCCATTTACCTTTGTGCTTCCCATTCATAATTC